ATTGGATAATAACTGTAGAAGTTTTTCCGGAGGGTAGCCGGTCCCCTTAAACTATTGTTAATGAACTAGTACTTCAGCTTATCAGTTATCAGTCATTTAGAACCACCAGGATGGTCAGAGTGCTCCGGCTCCAGTGCTCCATCCTGGTCCAGCACTCCAGTCTCCAGCTCCAACTCCAAGAGCAGGGACCCCCCTTTTCAGTTCAGCTTAAGGAAGAGAGGGAGGCCAGGGGGGTGTATGTAAAGCCAGTAAACTGTAAAGGCCCTCCAAGAGCACACTTTGTTATTTGTTAAGGATGTGGAACTTTTTTTGTTAAGGGAGTGACCATTATTTGGGTGCTGGAATGCTCTAATGCTAATGCTGTAATGCACTTGTCATTCTTCAAGGTTATCACGGCTCACCTGTTCACGCATCACTAGCACTAAGACTAGGAGCACTGTAGCACGCTGGAGCACGTGCTCCCAAAAATAAAATCCTACTTGTGTAAGTTGTGTCAAACTCAAAGCCTGTGGCAGACCAGCTCCAATCAAAGCAGGTTGGCTCCTACTTCAGTACTTCTGGCAATCTGGCCAGTGGCCACTGCACTCCTCAATTACATAGGTACATTGTATGATTCATAATGATTGTACATGGTCATTTTACTCATTTAGAAGGCATTTAAAATACCCTCATGAGTCATGGGCATTGGGCCATTGATATGGCATTGCCACTGCCCACGCTTCCACGCATGGTGCTATCAGCTATTCTAGATGCATTCTTAATTACCATCAACTTATGGAATTAATTTAGTAGTGCACCCACAACCCAAACAGGAGTGCACTCTCAAAGTTGCACTGCGCACGGATTGGCTGACCTGACAGCTTGCAGCTCGACAGCTGAGGCTGAGCAGGTGCGAGTGACTGTCTGGTCTTATAATTTATGAATAAGAAATTGTACATTGTAGTTTCTAAATTTTTGTATCAGTTATCGGCTATTGCCTTATCTGCAGAAGGCAGTAGACTCAACTAGACTGAGTAGGCTAGTGTAGTGATAAGTGTACACACATAACACACTACACTGTACTCACTTTAGTGTGTAGTCTGTACAGTAAACGTAAAAAGTAAGATGCAACGCGTGTGCCGAAATTAATAAGTAGGTATAAATAGATCAAATTGTGACCATATCATCATAAGCCTTATTAAAAATCGGCATCGAAAGCTTCGTTTGGATACATATCTTCCAGCATTATATGCAAAATTTGTATTGAAAAATATGTATTGCTTCAACCTTCAAGTTATACCGTTTAGGCACTTACAAACCGTTGAAGCCGCAAACGCAAAGTGCAGCTTCTTTTCGGGATGTCCACGCAGGGTAGACTTAAAGCCACAGGACAACCGCAAGGATGACCGTTGGGCCTGAGAGCTTGTGTAGTTTTGGACCTCTTGGCATGGAGGTCAGACCACTTATTTTTGCTTTTGAAAAGTCAGTGGACGCAATGGCTCACATTATGGGAACCTGGTAAGGACTAGGTACTAAGAAAACCATTGACGCGTCCAAAAATTATGTGTTGTGTATACAATAAAATTGTTCAGGGTTCATATCTCACTTATTGGATACAGATAAGTGACTCGTGGAACATTTACTGATATCAAGATGTGCTCCCCCCAAAAAAAAAGTGTTAAACAAATTCACAAAAATTTAAGTCATTTAGCTTGCTACATTGCGATAATCGACTACAGTTTTTTTTATAATTTTTTTTTTATGATTTTTACAGCTTTATGCTAATACGCAGAGGATATTGGATATTGAAGCTCTCCAGAGGAGATCATATTGGTATTCCACATGCAATTTCAGGGATTTAGCGGTTATTACTCATTAGATATAAAATTTCTCAAAAACCAACTCTACATGTGATTGTTTTGCAATACGGGAAATAGATGTTAACACGCCGTAAATTATGGTTTTTAGCGGGTCTCTTTCATCAACATGATTTAGCTTTTCAATTATTGACGGAATTTATGCTAATGAAATTTTGGGTAACGAGAATCGGGAGGGACACGGATTTGGGGTTCGCGCGGTGGGGGTTGACAGGATTTGGGGTTCGCGTGATTTGGCGTTGATGGGGGATTCGCCTGCCGAAGACTACCACTGCCCTGGATGTAATGGACCATCATGATTCCTGCCTTCCGGAACGTTGCCTTGAACACTTCTGGACAATCGTATCTAGGCCGTGCGGCGAACGGCAACTTGTTGAAGGACGACAATTTTTGGAACAAAACTGTGCTATCAAAAACATAACCTTCAATGCGTTGAATGTAAAATTACGTAATTTAACGATGCCCAGAAGTCATATTCGATCCGCGGTCTGGTGGTGCGCGGCAGGTTCTATGCAAGGCGGGAGGAGGACAAAGCCGAGTGGTTCACGGTTGATTGGTGGATGTCCGGAGAGATCCAAGGCGTTCGATTCAGAGCTTATTGGTGCCGAAAATTGGTGGTGCACGGATGCTCTCCCGTTGAGGGATTCGGAGTTGACGGGATATGAAGTTCACGAGATTTGGAGTTGGCGGGATTTGGCGTTGACGGGATTCCAAGTTGACGGGATATGAAGTTCGCGTGATTTGGAGTTGCAGGGATGAAGTGAGGGATCTTAGGATCGCGGGATTTGGAGTTGGCCGGTTGGCCGGATATGGTGTTTGCGGGATTCGGTGCTCGCGGGATTTGGTGATAACGATATATGGAGTTGAGGGATTTGGGAGTCGCAGAATTTAGCGTTGACGGGTACGTAAAGTGGGTTTTTAATGTGGCGTTATTAACAAATTTTAAACTCGTTTTATTGAAGACTGGTGAATGGGTTTAATTGATATGGTTTTTCCATTAATTAACAATACGTTAATGTAAACATTGTTATTATAACATCAAAGGTGGCTGTATTCATGACGAGTTTGCTTGCTGGTATTGAATAGATTTGAGTTCGTTAGCATGCTTTGTCATCATATGGTCCACAGCATACAAGTTATGTCATAATATAAAAGTTTAAAAATTCACATATCGTATTTTCATTTTAGTAATCTTGATGCGAAACTAGAGTTTTTTAGCGCGTTTGTGTACACAACTGAGGGTATATCGTCTATACAATGTTTCTTGTTTCCTACGTGCCTCACCCTTTTATTTATTTTTCGTCTATATGTAATATATTTGGCATGTTATTATAATATTGGCATAATATAATCTTTGTTGTTAGCTTATAGATTCATATCAGCTTATATAAATATATATAGTTATATGTATCATTGTCCTGATAATACCACATATAGCTTAATACCACTTAAGAAATATATAACAATTATACAAAAATCGTAAATGAAAACCCACAGGAAATTACAGTTTAAGCTGCCAATGAATCAACGGCCATCGTTTAGGTTACTATCTCATTTAGGTTCGTTGATGCTATAAAAATCTGTGACTTCCGGTCTAAATCCAGCGGCAGCCAGATCAGCCGCTATATATTTTTTTCTTTTTCTCTCTTCTTCTTTTTGCCACACATTTCCTACTATACACAACAATCCCCAATTGTGGCCTTTTCCTGTGTGTATCATTAGTGTTTAAAACAATCTTACATTAGTTTTGCCTAGTCAAAAAACCCTAACCTAACCTAACCTAACCTAACCTAAGCTAACCTAACCGAACTGAACACAGCCACTATTATATTTTTGTGGTACGTCATTCATCGGTCATTGGTTGTCACGTGGCGGCTTCAAAGGTTCAGTAGATTTTTTTAACTCGTGACAAGATATTGTAAAGGGGGTTTCTATGGTAGCCCATTGCTTCTTGTCATGTGGCCTACTCATAACGTTTAGAACCAAAATTGACGCTACCTCGAATTTCATCAGCCAATCGTAGCCTCTCATTCAAATACGAAGTTCATTTTCAGAGGTTAAAATATATATGTTGGTACTGAATTTGCTAAATTTGTATTGCGGTTAATATATTTTACAGCTATTAATTTATTATATCATGTCTATTCTATACATTAACAATTTATTATAAAATTATAATAATACACATGTCCATTTAAAAGACAGCATCTGTTTTCAACAACTGTCGTTATCCTACTTATTTTGTTTGCGTCTTGTATCCTGGTGAATTAAGAAATAACAATACGTTCGAATTTTTTCTTGATTTGTCGCCCCCTATGATGTTATTGCTCTGTTGCTTGAATAGCTGCTCAGTTTTAAATCAGGCATTTCTCCTACGTTACTAGCAAGTCATGAGTTAGGTGATAAGTCTTGAAACTGAAACAGAATATCTGATATATTTGTTTATGAGTTGTTTAGGTTCTTTTGGAAGATGGGTTCTTCATCTGCTGTTTACAATCATTAAATTTATTTTTATGAGTTTGGTTCGACATTGTTGGAACGCACCGAGCTCAGAGTTCTCCCAGCGAGTGTGAGGTATGGATGCGCTAGGCATTACCTCCTCGTTCTGTTTCGCGCACCTCATACAATGTCCTGATTTTGTGAAAACCCCCTCAGTGTAAACAATGACAGGAAAATTCACGTGAGGTTTTTTATTCTCGGTGAAGAACGAGCACTCGGAGGGAAGAGTCGAATTGTCTTTTAAGTTACTTGAACCGGTCAATAGAATTGAACTTGAAGTGCCAGTGTGGGTGGGCCAGTTTATTTGGCACTACCCATTGGTTTTGTTATCGTACGTATGAAATTTTATTACTAATTTTTAAATTGTTACAATATATATCAGTTCGACCTTTTTACGCGTGTTTTGTGAACGTGCATCGGTGTATCACCGATAAGATGCAGGAAGACTGTGTTGGCAGTGGATCCGTTTTGGACGGTAAAAACGTCACGAAAACATCTACCGCCACGACCGCTGCCGTGAGCTCAGATGCCTCAGGAACAAGAGCTGGTGCTGGCGAAGAAAATTTCTCTGCAATTGCCCCTAAATTGTCACAAGTAGAAGATGGTTCATCAGCTGCTGGTGCTTCAGGAATAAATGGTGATGGCTGTGCTGGCATCGTTCGAAGTGTTGATGGTAGTGGTGAAACACCCACCCTAGTTGGGTCTGTTAGTGACCTCAGTCTGACCTCATCTGTGGCATCACTCTGGTCCCAAGATGAGCATAATCAGTTACTGTCTTCCATGCCAGCCATCAATGGCTCTGTTGGCTTTGGTGGGCAGGGAAGTTCAGTTCCTCAACTGTTCAGTGGGCCAGGCCTGGGCCGTCTGAATCAACAGCGCAGCCTCCCTCAGCACCAAACATCCCAGAGAGGCATGTTGCCTGGTCACAATTCTATGGTTGGGCCTCCTGGTCCGGGAACTGCAGTACAAGGATTTCTAGGCAGTAAAGTTAATAGTTCTTGGTCATCTGGCTTAGGCCAAGCCAGCGCCTGGTCACCTGGGGTACAAGGGGGCATGGGTAGGCCTACAGGGAGTCCAGTTGGTGTTGGAGGTGGCCACAATGCCTCGATTGGAGCAATGGCTTGGAACCGGAGCAAAAGCACAAACCTCTCCAGTAACATAAGAGTTTCTCCTAATGCTCCACCAAACATGGGTGGTGTAGGTAAAGTTTCTCCTTCAACCATGGCTGCTAACATGAAATTTCAACGATCAACCAGTTTTCCCAGCAAATCAGCTATGCCTCCCCAGCACGCATCTTACGCTCATCAACACAGCCCTCTGCAGGCCAGTCCTCTACAAGCAGGACAATTGCCGCCAAGTTTTGAGATCACAGGCTCGGATCCCCAGCACGCATCTTACGCTCATCAACACAGCCCTCTGCAGGCTAGTCCTCTACAAGCAGGACAATTGCCGCCAAGTTTTGAGATCACAGGCTCGGAAGATGGGCGAGACTATCTCCAATTCCAGGTAACCATTTTTTCTTTTAGTTCTTCAATAAATTATGCTTTCAATAAATGCTTTCTTACTTTATTCTATTGTTTTGGTTTCATTTGCAACATTTTTTTGTTTGAAAAAAAAAAAATTATATCTTTACTCCTTGACTTGCTATTTAACAGTTTATAACTCTCAAATAGAAATAATAATTTATTTATGCCAATCATCTCCAATTGCGGTTGAGCAAGATGGATTAAATGAATGGTGGCTTATGTCTAATATTGATTCTTCTGTAAATAGATTCAACTTGCTTGATCTGAAAGTTTTTTTCTGAGTTACAAAGATATGAGCATAATTCTTAATATTTTGATCCAATAAAATGTACATATGTACAATGTATACTCTTGTTCATATAATGTATTACCCCTCATGGTTTCCACCTTGCAGTACTCATTTCATGTTAGAACGTGGTTAATCACATATTTGGCCATTTTAATAAAAAATGTAACTTTGAACTATGGAATAATTGTATTATATCTAATTTTTAGTAAAATTTCTAATTCCTCATAGATGTATGGTGGTATTTTTTCAAAGCCTCCAGTGAGTCTTGATCTTCTTGACTTCGGCCATCACTATAACAGAAACAAATGTCAGTAAAACAAAATAATAAATATTGGCAAAAGTCACCCCAGTAGCCAAAGTCACCCCAGTCACTTTTGCCAATGTTTATTATTTTGTTTTGCTGCCATTTGTTTCTGTTGTAGTGGTGGCCAAAGTCACCCCAGTTGATGGTACCCAAGTATCATGGATACCATCATGTCACACACACACATATATATAAATTCTATTGTATCACAATTAGTAGCCATTCAGGGTTAAGAATCTCATGGCTAAACCTCTTGTTTGCCATGGTGATGCTTAGTGTATGCAAAAAAAAAAAAAACCTGTGCTGTAGAAAAAAAACTTGTTGATGTATAACTGGGCTCTGATGTTGATATGTTGATGTATAACTGTGCTCTGATGTTGACATGTTGATGTATAACTGGGCTCTGATGTTGACATGTTGATGTATAACTGGGCTCTGATGTTGACATGTTGATGTATAACTGGGCTCTGATGTTGACATGTTGATGTATAACTGGGCTCTGATGTTGACATGTTGATGTATAACTGGGCTCTGATGTTGACATGTTGATGTATAACTGGGCTCTGATGTTGACATGTTGATGTATAACTGGGCTCTGATGTTGACATGTTGATGTATAACTGGGCTCTGATGTTGACATGTTGATGTATAAC